GCGCTCCCCAAGAGGAAGGCTGGGAGCCTGGTGGGCTGTATCCCACCAGCCTTCCCTGCCCTTAGTGCCTCAGTGCAGGGAAACCCAGGAGGAGGAACACCACCACAGCTGAGCCCCAGCAGCTGTGCCGCCTGGAAGCCAGGCTCAGCCCAACCTGCTCCACAGCCTCGGCTGGGCCTCCTGCCTGGAAATGCCTCCAGCAGGAGCGGGGCCGACTGCTAGGAGCGAATGATGGCTGTATCCCACCAGCCTTCCCTGCCCTTAGTGCCTCAGTGCAGGGAAACCCAGGAGGAGGAACACCACCACAGCTGAGCCCCAGCAGCTGTGCCGCCTGGAAGCCAGGCTCAGCCCAACCTGCTCCACAGCCTCGGCTGGGCCTCCTGCCTGGAAATGCCTCCAGCAGGAGCGGGGCCGACTGCTAGGAGCGAATGATGGCAGGCTGAAGGACAGGAAAGCAAGAGGTGAACATCCCAGACTGCTTTACTCCAGGCAGAGGCAGGAACCTAGATGAAGAACCTGTAGCAGAAGCATCCAAGGCAGACAATAGCCCCCACTACGAATGGGGGCAGAGCGCAGCTGGCAAAGGAGACAGGAAAACAGTCCACAGACCTAAATTAAATAGCACTTGCAAGGTGACAACAGCAGGCCGGGACCTTGGATGTGCAAGAAGAGATATGGCTGATCTGAAGGCTAGAAGCAAAGGAAAAAAAAAAAAAAAATAGATGAAAACATGGTCTCCCTGTGACCAGTACAGGCTCATGGAGGATCAGATGGACAAGAACCCAGAGAGGCAGCTCAGACACAAGTGCTAAAGACAAGGTGGATGATGCCACAGGAAGGAGAACACGCAAAGACCCTCGTGACCCTGCTGAAGGAAAGAGGAAGGGACATATGGCCTCCCTCAGAGCAGAGCAACACCTGCTGAGTCCCTAGCTGGAAGGAACAGAGAGGGGAAAGCAGATTAACTGAAGGTCACGGGAGTACAGCAGGGCAGATCAGAGTGATGTGCCGCCTGGCGACCGCGCAGCCCAGCACCCTGCTCTGCTGGAGGGACAGGGCAAGCTTCGACCAAGCTCTCAGCCTTCCAAGCCCTTTAAAATCCCCGAGGCCTTGCAGCTGCACACAGGCAGCAAGGATGAATTTCTGCTGCCCGCAGCCCCAAGGAGAGCCCAGCACGATGACAGCGCGTGCTTTTGGCTCCTCGGTACTGGAAAAGCAGAGGGCAGAGCAGAAGCAGCACTGGAGGGGGTGACTGAGAAGAGAGTGGTTATGAGATGACCAGGCTAACTCACCTCCATTCATGGGGGTAGAGAGATGATAATCAGGAAGAGAGATGATAATCAGGAAGACTGGGAGTGCTGAGAAGACAGAAGAGGCTAAACCTTGCCAAAGATGGGAAGCTGAAAGGGGAGCTCCCACGGTACCCACGCTCTGCTGGAGGCTTTTTAAAGCAAAGCACTAACAAAGCAAGTTGGTGGAGGCAAAGTTGCCCTAAACAGCAAGAAGATTGAGGTGGGACCCTGCCCGCTGCCTCAGGTTTGGTGCCAGCCCTGCCAGGGAAGGAGAAGGACACGGCGTGGCTAGCCTGAGGCCAAGGGGATCGCGGGCTCCAGCAGGGGAGGCCAGGAGGTGGCAAACCCCTCGGGGCTGTGTGATCCCTGCCCTTCCACACCGAGGTGCGAGCAGGTTGCCACAACCCCCTGGTACAGACCGAGTCGCCAGTCAAGAACACCAATGGCTACCGCAAGCCCTGGCAAGGGGCACAGCAAGGGCACTTGCCCAGTTCTCAGGCAGAGGGACGTGTCAGAGAATGCCACCCTCTCTGCGCCAAGAGCGATTGCTGGGAGCGTGAGGCGACAGACACGTGTCCCTGCGCCACCTCCTGCCACCGCGCCCCAGCACAGAGCACAGCTGCCACGGGAAGGTGCCACCAGCCTTGGGAGGAGCACAGCCAGGACGAGGTTTCCTCGCTGAGCTCCACAGGCTTTTGGAAGCTCCTGGCTACCAACGCTGCCCCAGCTCAAGCAGGAGGTTTGAGGGAGCAGGGGAGGGGGTTGTGTCAGCAGGGAGCTCCAGCAAGCTCAGACGAAGAACGGGAGCAGGAAGAAGCAGCCCCCTGGAGACAAGGATTTGTGAGGATAACTGAGGTGGTCTCCCTGAAAAGCCTCAGAGCACGACAGCTCTGCTACCTCTGCCTTACTCCCCCGGCACGGTGTTAGCAGTGAAACATCGCCAGACACACCTGAAGCAGGGCCAACCACTAGTGAAGCACTCAAGCACGAGCGAGGGGTCCCCTCTGTGCCACGCACCACAGCTACCACCACCTCGGCTGGCACAGCTCTTGACTGCTCCGCTCCTTTGGGAGCAGCTACAGAACCAGGAGCGTTCCTGTAGGCTCTCAAGGCTTCGGAAGCGATGGAGTATGAGAAGCGAGGCTGCAGCTTGCTGCCCCGGCCTCAGACACGTCAGCCCGGCTGCAGCGACCGTGGCTCGCCAGCGGATTGTCTCCTCCGCAGCACACACCACCCCAGCCAGTCAGCGAGGCGTGGGGGATGCTCTTTTCTCAGGCATAAAAGCAGCAAGAAAGAGGAAAGAGCAGGGAGGGAGGGAGGGTCCAGGGCAGCGCTTAGCGGGCAATGCCAGGCCAAGGTGCCAGAGGATGCTCTCGGCAGCGCGAGAGAGAAAGGGCAAAGGCGATGCCTCGCTGGGTGTGCTGCCAGCTGCGGGTAGGTGGCAAGGGACAAAGGGCCAACACTTGCCCTGGTCCTGGTAGCCTCAGGGGGTAAAGGAAAAAAAAAAAAAAAAAAAGAGAGGTCTTGCAACTACCTGCCAGATCCTCTCTGTGCACCCGCCTGCCCTTGCAGCCGGCGGGGGAGCAGCCCTGGTGGCACCCTGGCACGAGGGGGAGCAGGCAAAGGAGGCTCCCCCGGCACCTGGGTGACCCAAGCGTGCCGTGGGCTCAGGCAACCAGGTTTATTTTCTCCATGGTAAGGCGGAACAGCTGCACACAGGCAGGTAGAGCAGAGTACGTGACCTGCCACCCTCTGCCTCGGTCAGGGCTGGGAACTCCTTGGCACTACTGCCCTTGGGGAGCATTTAAGGGCTACGAGGGGAAAACCAGGCTGCACCCAGCTGTGGTAGTGGCTGACACAAAGGAG